AAGACAACTCGCCTTCTAGGTGACAACATAATTCCTCTGTGGTTCCCACACAGACCTTAAATCCCTTCCAACTTTCTTTGTGCTTAATTATAAAATAAACATGCTGAGCTAGTTCGGGGTGGCGTCTCCTCCATCAGAGAAAAGTGCGCCACCTGACCACAGTTTTTCTCTATGCCTTTGTGTCTGTGTCTTTCTTTTTTTTTTTTTTTTGAGTTGGAGTCTCACTCTGTCGCCCAGACTGGAGTGCCGTGGCCGCTCCTGGCCACCGCAGCCTCGACCTGCTGGGCTCCAGTGATCCTTCCGCCTCAGCCTTCCATCTGTATCTTTCTTAATCTCTAGCCCCTCTCTCTCGGGACTACTCAAGACAGCCGCACAGACCGCAACAATAAATATCTAGAAGTGGAATGACTAAATTAAAAGCATAGACATTTAAAGGTTTGGTAGATACTAATTAATTTCCCCCTGTTATGGACTGAGTTTTGTCCTCCCTGCAAATTGAAGCCCCAACCCCCAATGTGACTAGATTTGGAGATAAGGCCTATAAGGGGGTAATAAAGGTTAAAGGGGGTCATAAGAGTAGGGCTTTAATCTGAGAGGAATGGTGTCCTTATAGGAAGAGGAAAAGACACCAAAGTTTATCTCTTTCTGCATGTACACAGTGAGAAGCCATGTGAGGACACAGTGAGAAGACGGCTGTCTGCAATCCGGAAAGACAGGCCTCACCAGACACCAAGCTGAAGTCAGTAACCTTGGACTTCAAGTCTCCAGAACTGTGAGAAAATAATTTTCTGTTGTCTGAGCCATCCGGTCTGGGTTATCTTGTTATGGTAGCCCAAGCTGACTAATATACCCTCCATAAAGGCTGCAGCATTTACACTCCCACCAGCATTATAAGACAGAAACCGTTTTCCCAAACCATAACCAACTCAGAATATTATCAAACTCTTTTATTTTTGCCAATCTGATAGGTGAAAAATATGATATCTCCGAGTCTGTTTTATATTGCATTTTTATTAAGAGATAGGGCATTTTTCATGTATCTGAGAGATAATTTTATTTTATTTTCTGTTAATTGTCTAACATGTCTTTCACCCATTTTTTCTATTCATTGTTATGCTTTTCTTATTGATTTATAGGCGTCTTTTATGTTAAGAAAATTAACCCTCTGTGATATGAGTTCGAAACATTTTCCCAATTTGTTGCATATCTTTTAACCCTGTGAGTTTTTCATTTAAAAGAATTTAAGGAGTCCATCCCTTTCCTTGCTTCCCTCCCTCCCTCCCCTCCCCTCCTCTTGCTTTTCCCTTCTGGCTTTGTCTCTTCCCCTTGTCCTGGTCCTGTCCCTTGCTTCTTATCACTATCCCATCCTCTTTCTTGCTTTCCTACCTCTCCTCTGTCCCACAGAAAAGAACACTTTTTTTTAGGAATCAAATATCTCTATATTTTCCATATGAATCTGGGGTTTCACATAACATTTTAACAGAGTTTCCCAAACTGATTTTTTTAAATCGTCTTATATTTTCTTCTAATATTTTAAGGATTTAGTTTTTTACATCTAGAGTTTTCTCCTCTTGGAACTTATTTTGGAGTGTTGAATAAGATAGGATGTCAACTGCATTTTGGCAAGCTAGTTGTCCCCAAACCACTTACTGATGAATCTTTATTCTCCCTGCTGATTCGAAGTGCCATATTTACCATATATTTAAGGCATATGTTTTAATATATGGACTTTTTAAATTACAGTAATGTCATATTAGGTTTTAACAGCTAGGAAGGCCGATCATACTTTATTACTGGCTTAGAAATTTCCTTTTGAGCCTTAGAATTTGTTTATCTAGTTTCAAATAGCATCTTTGTGGTATTTTTATTGAGAATGAATTAAACTTGAGATCAGCTTAGGCAGTAAGAACATTTTATGATGTGTCATCCTATTCAAGACTGTGATCTGCCTTTTTATTTGCTCAAGTCTTACTTTGTGTCCCTTAATAACATTTAAAGATTTCTTTCCTGACAGCCTTACACATTTTTTTTTTTTTTTCATTAATCAGTAGTTTTTATTATGGTTTTGTGGGGTACAGT